CATGCCTGGTGATCCGAGGCATTTGTGATTATGCCGACTCGCATAAGAACAAGAAATGGCAGCCTTATGCTGCCGGGGTGGCGGCTGCTTATGCGAAGGAGTTGTTGTCGGTCATACCACCAGGGCATGTGGAGAGAACGAGACCTATGAGGAGAAATGGTCCGTGGTCAATCTTTGTTCCTTTCGAAGTATATGTTCTGTTTACTGATTGTTGTAGCTCCCGGAAAACTCTTCTTGGTTCCATTCCAGAGAGATGGAAACTTCACTGGTCGTGATTCTATAATGAGTGAGCTTGGTAGACGATACGATGCAGCTACATTTGAACGTTTTCTCAGCATAGCTCTCGTTGGAGGTAAAGACACAGGGTGAGAAGATTATTGTGATACTAGCAATGATAACCCTCACTAACAGAGTCAGTAAATCACACATTGCCCTTTAATACGCTTACCGAAGCCCCCAACATGTGCCCTGGCTATCCGTATTCTGGGTCAACGCAAGCAGCATCTCCCGATACAGAAGGTCTTATCAAGATATAGCTAACAGTCTTTATCTACCCGGAAAAGATGACCCAGCCGTCGATGTCGTGGAACTGGTATTGGAATGGCTAGCTGACGAAGAGAATGGGCCATGGCTGGTTATTCTGGACAATGTTATTAACGTGGGTGTTTCCCAAGAGACGGGGCTTCCTGTTCTGCTGGAGGATGACGTGACGGAGACGATTCCGATTGTTTCATCGTCCCCAGAAGCAAAACATGGATCTTTGCTTGTCACGTCGCGCAATTTGGAGGCTGCAACGAGTATAGTTGGTTCAGCTGAGAACATTGTCCATGTCCAGCCAATGGATGAAGGGCCGAGAAGTGCAATTGGGATTGGGCAGGATATGCTGACTAACCTGGCTCTGGACAGCCCAAAAGATGGTCGGACACCATTATCATGGGCTGCAGAGGCTGAGTTTGTGCCAGTCGTGAAATTGTTGCTTGCTACTGGTAAAGTGGACGTTGATGCCAGAGACTCACATTATGGTCGAACTCCTCTATCATGGGCTGCGGGGGCGGGGCATGCAGAAATTGTTCAGCTCCTTTTAGCAACCAACAGAGTCGACATCAACTCCGTCGATTACCAAAATCGGCCGCCACTGACCTGGGCGCGCTTTAATTCTCTCGAGCGAATGAAACCGGTAGTCAAGCTGCTCCAAGCCACTGGCCAAGCTGACCTAAACATCCGCGATGAAACATCAGACCGCACAGCCCTTTCGTGGGTGTGTGGAATGGGCCACCTAGAGACTGTCAAATCGCTGCTTGAAACCGGCAAGGCGGATGTCAACACCATAGAGAAATACCACGGACGAACGCCGCTTTCCTGGGCTGCATTTGACAAACATCAGAAAATCATGATGGTGTTGATTGCTACCGGACATGCAGACTTGGAAGCAAGAGATAACGAAGAGGGCCGGACTGTACTGTCTTTGGCGGCAGGGAATGGACTTGAAGCTGGGGTGGGAACTTTGTTAGAGACTGGGAAGGTGGATGTTAATTCCAAAGACCGGAACAGGAGGACACCTTTATTCTGGGCATTAAAGAATGGACATCAAAATACGGCTCTTCTCCTAGAGGAGGCTTTGAGCGGATAAATCTACTTATATAGTTTTCTAATGAATAGAGTAGGTCTGCTAACCCAAGCCCCCTTAGCTCTTAGGCTGCCCTAATAGATTGCATCACTATGGCCTAGTCCCTTTCTAGGCATATCTGCTATTTCACTGAAGTCACCTAATCATTCACATAGTCTCAAGCCAACCACAAGTTAGGCTCAATCAAGGTATATCTGAAGACTCACAGAAGCCCCACCGACGATAGCAGCCTACCAACAGACTAGTATATTCGCATCATCCACACGAGACTATGCTGTCAATCCACCCGAGCTCATTTTCTAGGCTCATAAATTGGGAATGGCACTGAAGAGTCCCAGCACCCAGCCTCGAGGAAATCACCCGTGATATTTTAAACAGTGGTGCCATTGCCGAACTCGAGGATCAGGCCGCCCGATGGAGCAGTAGCGTTAAACGCGGGCCAACCCACAGTGGAGCTGACCGTGGAGGGATTCTTGAGGAACGCCAAGACGTGATCCTGCATGGTCCTCGACGTCGCAACTTCCAGAGCTGATATATTTCCTGCATCTGTCATATATGTGCCGAATATCATCAACAGATCCGACCAATGAAATGCACCAAGGTAAGGGACTGGGCTAATATTGGAGAAATTTCCAGCCCATTCATAGCGGTACGTCTCGAGTCCTAAGGAGGACCGACGGATAGAGTCCTCGTATGCAGTGCAGATCCATTCGCCTTCTACTTCCATTGTCGTCGACTCCGATGTGCTGGCTTGTTCTCGTGAGGTGTCCGAGCGGATGGCTGGGCCCCGTGCGACTCGACCCGCAGCATAACGCGCCGACTCGTTGGAGAAGATGTACTTTTCGTCGGCTAATCCACGTAATCAGTCAGTAATGTTCCTATCAAAAATACACAATCATGGGGTTGTGGTGGACGAACGGATATAATTAGAGAAGGCGATGGATTGGGTTCCGTTGTAACGGTTGATATACTCTTCAATCTGTACCCATGAAACTTGGCGCATACATCCCAGCTCTGCCTCTGCGTCGTCTCCATAGTTGCATCCGAGGCCTTTCGCGACAATGTGGAAGTCTTCGTATACATCCGCTGTCTCGGTGAGATTGATTGTCACCGACGGAGGCTGGGAGATGACACCAAATTTTGCCACACGAGGGTCATCTGGAAAGGCAAGAGTATACAGGTGAGTGAGTGCCGCTCCCTGGGATTGTCCCCATAGCTGGTTCAAGATTTTGATTAGGATAATATGATCTTCGTGGACTGGAATCTCTTACCATGATATTATCTGGGTCTCCACCAAATGCCCGAATGTTCTCGGCTACCCATTCTACTGCGGCCCGCACATCCAACAAAGTCAGAGATGTCTCTGTCAGAGCTTTCGATTTAGGATCTACATCGAGTGATAGTTGATCAATTAGCCCGAGTCATTTGCGCGAGGGTGGTTCAACATGATCTTACTGCCGAAGATGTTGACCCGATAATTGATCGTTACGACAATATGTTCCTGGGAGTTCGATACCCAGTTTGATGGTAGCTGGGATGGAACCTCAATTCCGCCAGTGACACCGCCACCACCTGTGACAAAAAGAGCTACAGGCAGATTTGATGTCTTGTTCGCAAATGCTGGGGTCCACACAGCTAGTGACAAACAGTCCTCTGAGGAGGACCAAGCAGTCGATCCCTGATTGGGTGCCTCCCCAATAGTCAGCAGAAGGCTTGTAGGCGCGTACTCTGCCCACATGCTGCTTCCGGAAGCAACATACTGCGGACAGGCTAGATACGAGGTCATCAGAAGGCTGCTCGCCTCGGTCACCCTCACAGCACAAGTCACTCACCAGGTCCAAAGCGAGTCGAGTCGATTCTCTTCGACGAGTTGGCCAACTTCTGAGGCGGAAGCCATCTGAGATCCCCGACTGGCGGCTAGTAATATCAAGTGATTATATTAGCCTCGAACCTCTCCGATCCTTGATAGCTAGCTCGGTGCGTACCTGTGCATAGGGAACCCGAAGAAATTGGCGGACATCCGGGTATGTATCATTCAACATGCCAATAAAGGTTCCGGTTCGTGTCTCCACTGTCAAATTTGACCAGTTGGATAGCGATCTCGCTGGTTGCCACGATAAGTCTGCATAGTATGGGGGGTACAACCCTCCAAGAGCGAGAGTAGTGAGCCCTGCCCAGACCAACGAAGCGAAAAAGGTCACCATTTTCAATTTGTCGCCAAACGGAGAGATTGCACTGGAATGTAGGTTTCTTTGAGTCGAATTAGTGCAATGCGGAGAGGACTATTTATGTATGCGAGCACGAAGAGGCCTCACGTCTCACGCAGCGTCTGAGGTCAATACAGCAGGGTCCGTCCCCCACTCTGCGGGGGAAGTGAGGATCCTACGAAGGACCTCGTCATCACTACTTTAAACAAAGTAAAGCTCAGATACTCAGACTTGGCATAAGTCTGCCCTATCTAACCGAGGGGTCCGATTACCCGTGAGCTAGAGTTAGTCTCGACTACACAACCATTCAAACGCATCTCCACTCACCTATCCACATTTTAGATGGCCGAATCTGGGAATGATATGCATCAGGCCCTGGTCTCTTTATGCTACCTAATCCATACTGAATCCTTTATCCGGCATCCTTGCAGGTAATTCCTCCAACGACAATAGCAGCCATGGCCCTTCGCTGAGCGGCCAGCTATTCCGCCGATATTAATCCGCCCAGACTAAGTCCAAATTCCCTACACTGCAGAGCATAGCGGATAGAATGGTCAATCGTCTGATGCGCCGTGTGTTCTGCTACTCTGCCTGGGGGTGCACCTACAGTAACGGTCATGTCGCATGAAGCTTCTCGTATACTGATGTTTGTGTTGTGGCATTCCTAATGGGTTTATGGTGTGTTTCCAATAGATTCACGCCACCGTTCGACTTTGCCTGTTGTTAGTCTACGCAATAGTAACATGGCGGGGCATGAGTCCCTAAGTAAGCAGCTTGAAAGTAGTACCACGCGTGCAAGCCAAGCGAATATTGAGACATAGTCTCTAGACTCAAGTGGAGCCAGATGCAATGGCAGCTTACGCGCCAGGGTCGGTGCCAAGCGAAGATTTACTATCCCGATCCCCGGACTCCACCATTCACTGTCCAATAGACATCACCATCCACAATCTATTGTCGCCTGATTCAAATAAAGGATAGATTTGGATTACAAGGTGTCGACCTGTGTCTTGGCACTTAGTAAAGGAGACTAAAGCAGGTTCAGCAAACTCCGGTTTTATGATGTGATCTGATAGGGCATATCGCTCCGTCTGCTCAGGTAGACGGAATACATCTTTCCCGGTCTATGGCGCCTGCAATTTTCTCTCCGAGTCGGTGCTTCTCAGGTGATGTTCCAGTTGACGGTAAGTAGCTTCCCGAAGAAGGGTTTCCATGGTCGCTGACAGACGCCACAGCGATTCAGTGGCCGTGCGCCCCAGCTTTTCAAGGGAGCATATATCATGTCCCCTGGATATGTGCCTGGAGCCGGTCACCACCAAGCAGAGGTCAGGACGACAATCCTTCTTATCACTTCGGCTAGCCTACCATTACAAACAGGCTGGCAGAACGTACCGACTGCAGTCGGCTGCCCAGGGGGAGATATCACCTGCATGCGCTCCGTGAAATACACAACTCTGATGACCATTGGCAGCGAAGTCGCCAGCAACTACAGCTACCAGCTTCAGCCGCGGGTAGATGGGGACATAGTTGCCGATACTTGTAATTCTCCCATCCTCAGTACCTACTTCACGACAACGAAGCTGACAGTTCCAAGACGAAGCACAATTGTACCAGAAGGACTTCAATTTCAGCGGTCTCCTTGTGATCTACCATGAGCGCCACGAAGAAAACAGACAGAGCTCCAGCTTTGTCACCAGCGCAGCAGATATTGCTGCCGAGCTGCAAATGTACTTCCCTCAATCACGGACGATGTGGTCGAAGATATACTCAAACTTTATCCTGCCTCGCATTACGCGAATGTAGGTTAACGTCTTTCCGACATCCGTCAGGGCTTCGGCATTACCGGCAAGAACTTAGCTCTGACTCATGCGCTGCATAATGAGACGTGGAATGCCATTGTCAATCTTGGGTTAGCTACTCATGGAACGGATCAGACTTATTACTGGTATAATACTTATAGTACTGTGCCAGCTAATGGGTTGAATTCTTCTTCTTCCTCATCGGTCAATGTCACGGTTGCAGCATGTTCTTTCTCCGATTGATGGCTATTTTATTTCTACGGACTGACTTTCCTTTGCAGCGCACCATGCAACAGTACCTCCCTGCGTTCGTCCTAACCGGCAACCCCAACACCCTCTGGCCTGATGACAAGATTTACTGTCCGAAGTATGGAAATGCGACGAACACCATCAGCTTCAATACAACTATGTCCATTGCTTTCGATGATCTTGCCAACGACAAGAGCCTCTTCTGGAATAAGGCTTTGTGGTACTGAGGCAGTCTTATAGATATGGGCGCGACACTGCGCTTCCTTAATACAAGCCTTGTGGTTCTTGTGTTCTAGGCACCAGATAGTCTCCCAATTCATGCAAAACATCTTAATAACCTGCTACAGGAACGAAAATTGCCTTGACATTGACATATAATCCTCAGTCATTTCTCATTCACTGTTCTTTTTGCTTTCTTGTTATCCAACAGACAATGTCCACTTTGTATTTTAGATCGAGACGACAACTTGAGAATTTCAGGGATCCAAGTTTTGGATGGGGACGGGCTGTTCTATCCCGGTCCTGTGGGGAAAACCTGTGCCTCGGGAGACCCTATTTGAGGGTTCAGTCGGAGGTGGCCATGTCTTTCTCCCTCCGATCTCCGACGGCCCTACGTAATGTATCCCCACAAATTCTGTGAGTTGCCGTGCCATTCCACCTAGGTTCGTTCAAATTCCGAAGCCTAATCAATCCTGCCAGCTTGATTATACTCACAGACCATCGTCTGGAACCGGACCTGTTTCCTCTACGGTGCTAGTGTCTCCCGGTGCATCATGCACTCACTGTCTTGAGGAGCGGGTACGCGGGAGTAGAGAATGTCAACCCCGAACGGGAGAGGATATATGTACATTAACCGGGAATGCCCACTATATCTAGTACGGACTGGGCGTAGCATACTTAAAGTACCCCCAGTACAACTGGATCTCCTTGGCTGTCGCGAAGGCAATGTTCTTCCAGAGGCTGCCAAGCTCGAACATGTTTCGCTGAGCGGGAACATTGGGACCCCAGTACAGCAAGGTACCGTTATTATAAGAGCTGCCCTTGTTCGGGTTCTGCGTCTTAACAAAGTTCGCCCAGTACGAGGACATAATATTGGCCACCTCATAGTCAGTGTCCGTATATGAGGTGGTTGTCTGGGCGTAGAGGTTGTTCAGCGCGTAAGACACCTCCGAGTCGTGGGTGGCTCCGTCCGAGCCAGCGGGCGAGTAGGTCCAGAGGTAGTAGTAAATGGGCTCAGTAGAGGACTGATTCCAGCGCTTGGCCCACGACCAGGTAGAGGTGCAGTAGCCAGCACGTAGGACTGAGTTGTAGGCAGCTGTGGCTTAGGTGGTGTTGCTGGCTGGATGGAGCGCCAGTAGCTCGGCGGCGTAGGGTCCGTAGGTGGAGTTGATCTCTGACTTGTACTCGGCGACGGTATATGTCGTGGACAGATCGATTCCGTCCTCGTCCTTATTGTTACCAACCAGAATTGGTACATCGTTGGGAGCACCTTCGTCTAGGCTGACTATGTATTTGTTGGGCATCGCGTGGTAGTTGAGCACTAGATCGAAGCCGGTGAAATCGGAAACACCAGCACCGCTAAGGACCATTTCGAGGTCCATAGAGCGCAAGTCAGCCAGGCTCGTCGCATTGAGTGACTCAGCGTAGGTCTTGCTGAAGGCATACGCCCAGGTCATGTTCCGGTAGTCACTTCTGTATCCCCACAGGTCTGGATCGTATGGGTCCTTGAGGCCACTCTCTGCGATCGCACCCTTAATCATACCGTTGGTTCGGGGGCTGTTGACCAAGTGGTAGACGGCGCCCGAGCCGAAGGACTGACCGGCCACAGTGATGGACTCGGGGTCTCCGCCAAAAGCGGCGATATTTTCATGTACCCATTTCAAAACTTCAATCTGATCGAGGAGACCATAGTTGCCCGTCGCACCAGTCTCCTCGGCCAGCTCATGCAGCGTCAGCCAGCCGAGAGGCCCTGTGCGGTAGTTGTAGCTGACAAAGATAACATCTTTGGCTGCCATTTCTGCACCGTCGTAAGTACTCTGGCTGGATTCACCTCCGGCCGCATAGGACCACAGCATGACAGGCAGTTTGGCATCAGTGGCTGTTGCGGGGCTCCAGATGTTGATCGACAGGCAGTCCTCGCTCAACCCGTCGCCAGCTGAAGAGCTAGGACAGCTGGGCCCAAATGCAGTAGCTTTCAGGGTGCCGTTCCAGGATGGGGCACTCTGTGGTGGCTTCCAGCGGTTTTCTCCACCGGTTGTGGCGGCATATGGAATACCCTTCCAAACGGCGATGTCTTTCCAGTTCGAGATGTAGGACGGTGCACTGCTTTCGTTGAATGCAGCAGCACCTTGCACCTTGCCCTGGGAGAGCTGGATGGTCTGGTCATAGAGAGTGGCGCTAGCCGGAGCCAGTAGGGAAAGGACACTGAGGCCACGAGTGGACCTCTCGTTGATTCTCACGTTCGCAGACACTGGAAGAAACGAGGGATTGTATGTGATGTGAAGCAGAATACTATCTTATGTCTCTCGAAGACCCGGGAAAAGAGAGCTCTTATAGCTACAGGTGAGCCTATTTAACGAATTGCAAGGCATGCAGATCCCTCGGACTTCAAAAGCCATGGCGTGTTAAAACAACGTATGTACTCCGGGGTAGATAGCACACGCCATGCATGATGGTATTTGGTCACTCTTCCGTTATTACGATCCGCACAGATTATACTAGTCGACCGTGCGTTCATGACCTTAATCGACGGCGTCGGAGATAGTGGCCCAGACGTCTCCGATGTCCGTCCGCCGGTTCCCGTGAAGATATCAGCCAAAAGCCTGGTAAATAGTGGGTAAAAAATGGTTATCGGTTTCACCCTAGTTTATTAGGGCAGAGGACGCGCAAAACTGTGGGGATTCCAAGCACCTGCTCGGAATTATTTGCTGGTCTGGGTAGATGGGACTGCGCTATTCAATACAAACCTTCCATCATTAGTGAAAACCGCCGATCGTTCCGCTCAATTACCTATTCGAGCTCGTTAATGAACATCCTTACTATATCACCAGCCTCAACCAGCTCTGCAGCGACTCCAGAATATAGCATGCATTACCCCCTTAGTTGCAATTTAGTAGATATGAGCTACTTCAAGTCACGACGGCGAATATCTACGCGTAATCTCGTTGCAGAACGTGCTTGGCTGCTCATTCAACATCCAAAAGTTAACCTCATCTCTTGCTCCCAGTCAAACGTCTCCAAAAACTCCATGAAGTCATTGTCTCCAATATCTCCTCCTGGTGCCTCAGTATCCAAAGAGATGTCACTAGAAGCTACCACGCCTACCGGTGCTGGTGAGAGCACCCGATCTAGCGCCTGAGAGATAATCCTCTGCCCCTTGATGCAGATCTCGTAGTCACCCTCTTGCTGGCGAGAGAAGGTTTTCAGCTGCGCGACAAAAACGCTCAACTTCTGTATGATGTCGGAACGAGGAAATGGTGTTTGTGGCGATACGATGGCTACGCTAGTTTGCGGCTGTGAGCGTCGCAGAAGTTCGGTGCAAAGCGTACCGGCGGCAGGAAGACCGATGTAGCAGAGCTGGGTTGGTGAGAAGTGGGAGCAAAGGTACAGTTCTATAGTCCGAAACTCACATCTAAAATGACGCTTGGGTGGACTCGGCCTGAGCGCGTCTCCAATGATACCATATGCAATAGGGTGCTAATGATTTCCAAAGCCTTGTTGGCGAAAGCATCAATACCCTTTCCAACCCGTTTGTAGAGAGTCTGCAATAGCAGGAACTCATGGTAAAGAAATTCCACGTGATAAGACGCAACTTGAGGATCTGTTTTATCCTCTGTCCACTGTAGGCATGCAGGTAGACTGCGTCGTAGTTCGTCTGACTTTTTGCAAGCATTTCTGTTCAGCAGCTACTAGTTAATGCTAGTCCGATCGTAGCTTTGATCTCGTGCCACTCACTGAACCTTTTCCTCTAATTCGTCACGCCTGTTACTGAGTGATATTTCCAACGCGTTTTCTTTATCAATACTAGCAGCCAGTCTGGCTCGAGCGTTGGCTCCCTTGTCGATACGGCCGTCGATATTCCAACCTTCCGCATCTAAGCGTGTAATAGCTGCATCTCTTATAGCGGGTTCGGCAACAATTTCCGCGTAGCTCATGTCCAATGGGTATTGGATATTGCAATAACGCCAACATATCCGTGGGGGCCTGCCGAGGAATGTTGCAAGCTCTTTGTCAAGCGCATATGCCCCAACCATCGTTCTTTTCCGGATCTCCTTCAAAAAAAATGGAGCTGTGGTATCGGTATCGGGTTGGTGCAATCCGAGTGCAAAGACTGTGGTTGTGATATCTCCGAGCATTTGCCATGTTCTGTGATCTAGGTTTATTTTAACTGGGATATGAACCATGATATACTCTCAATGACATACCACTACTCCCGTGCATATGCGATAGGTAAATTGCATGCTGAAGCATAGCCCACGACAAAGGGTCACCGAGGGTCCCTAGATGATTACAAAACTGCAGGCATGTCTGGCTGGCCTGCATACATATCTGTCGCAAACCTTCCTTGCTCGTGATTTCGTCCTGATGCTCCAATCCCAAACTATGTGGTGGTGTTTGGTATGTTGCCGTACCAACAAAGCCGAAAAGTAAAGACAACATCTCCCAGCGCGGCGATGCCAACGAGAAGTATTCGGCCAACGTCATCGAGTCATGGGTCACGATAGGAGTTAATGTATTCTTGAAGAAGGCCCTAGAGAGATCTAAAAGGCGCGCATACTTGTTTCCCGAGCCCTGGATTGCATTGCGGTAAACCTCTCCTAGGACCTTGAACAACTGATCCATCAGTTGGATACCGAAAACCCATCCCGTCGAAATGGCAAAGCGCTTCTCTGAAATTTCGGCATACAACGGTAGGTGCTCTAACAGAAAGAGAACCTGGGCACCCCGTGCCACCTGCTGAGGATCGATAGGGGTGGATTTGGTGGATGAAGGAAAGTCCACGACATCCAGCTCACTATTGCTGAAAGCACCAGAGTAACTGGTAGGGCCCAAGAACCCCGATCCTGAGAATGGAAGCTTCGACGAATTGGGAAATGCCGCTGACCCTAACACAGTCACCGGGGATGAAGCGCCCAGACTATCCCATGTCAGTGACTTTGCAGGCACCAGCGTTTGTTCCTTGGTTGCTATCTTGGTGGCCTTCAATGGTCGTGATAATTCGCGCGGCTTAGTGAGCGGAGCTGGGTGGTAAACACAGAGGTCCGATTTACCCCGTCGGACACATCGATTACATACTGGAGCTGAGTGATCGCATCGGAGCTTAGACTTCCTGCAAGGCTCACAGGATGATAACTGTCCATTACGGCGTGGAGCAGACATGGCGATGCGCAGGCAGATGCCTCTGAGTCAAACGTAAATGAGGTCCGTAGTTGAGGTCCGACTCCGAACACCCAACAGAAAGAAAAAGAAAGCGACGAGGAAGCGGGGGGAGATAAAGAAAGGAGATAAGTGGACAGGCAGCCTTATTAGCCATTGTTGTTTAGCCGTTGTTAGTATAGCCTCGATCCTTTGCTACAAGTTGAGAGACAGTGGCTTGCGGTCCGATGGCTCGTGCGCTGAGCTCCGAGTGCCGACCCTAACCAGTTCGCCAAGTATATGCCTCAGCTTGCTTGCATCGAGCATATAAAGCCTTCCCCAGCAAGGTCATGTAGAACTAATAGACAAGAACAATCAAGAGCAGTTGCAATCAAGCACTCAGTTTCTCTCAAATCAATCATTCCAACCATTTTCACATCCTTGCAACAATCAACTCCACCATGCCTCTCACTCCATTGAACGGACTCTACCGATCCTTCAAGGCCAGACAGACTAGCAAAGCCAAGTCTGATGAATACGTCAAACCCACGGAAGACCGCATCGAAGATTCGGCATCTGTTCTCAGCGACGCAACTACCCTGGCTCAGAGCAAGACTGGGTCCCAGAAGGGGTCCTCTTTACAACAGGGCCCTGATAGCATCGACTACGGTTCTACTCAGTACTGTAAGTATGTCGCATGTCACGGATGGTTAGCTGAATAGTTTCAAACTGACACGACATAACATAGCTATGAGGGGCATGTCCACACGCGCCTGATAGTGTTGGCCACAGTTTTCACGAGGGATACGACCTACTTGGTATAGAACGGACTGCGTGATGGATATGCATGAAGCTTCCATTGATTGGATTATATGTAATACTTAATATCTCCTTGCATTTGAGAAAGGAGTTTTTATGAACTAGATAAGATTGGTTTCGAAGCTATTTCATATACCATGGTAATACATAGCTCGGTGTGCATAATCTACAACTGAGCTGCCGGCTTAAGGCAAACTAGCCTTTGGACAGAACAACGGCACATTGGGAGACCCTTTGTAGCAGGAACTGGTGTGTCGTAGAAATATGTTACAAACCTATCTAAGAGCAGCCCCTCTCACTCTCAGTCAACTCATTCAGTTGAAGACCCAAGGTTGTGTACCATCTCATATTTTGCAGACTTCACCAGCAAAAAAACAACCCCAGCTGCTGGGTGATGAGCTAGTCTGCCTCTGCACGTCAACACACTGCCTCTTTATTCGGCACACCCCAGCTCTTCATTGGTGGTGGTGGCCATATTCTTGGGCAGTGATTATCCTTGGATTTTACGACAACGGTCAGGGGCCGGATCGAACGCGCAACCTTGATAGGTCATCACGTGATCCTTTCGGCCGACTGGTCCGCTTTTATTGCTAGATATTTATCACGTGCTCGTAGATGAGAGAGCAGACTATATCGATATCGCTCATGATTGAGATCTCAATCTAAGTGCTACCGAGGTTGTGCAGTAGACCTCTAAGCCACTACAGCTCATCTCCTCCCAGAATGCTAAAACCCTCCTGGTCCTCAACACCCGCGCTACCATCGACAACATACCAATCCTTTACGGTCGCAGATCCGTTCACAACGGTCTCCCAAACCTCCGGAGGACACGTCTCGGGACTCAGGACATAGCACTGCGGCTTTGGCATAACAGGAGGAATATTTTTAATATGCCACGTATCCTTGGGTCCAATCGTCTGGAAATTATCGCCAACAGCTAAGAGGCCAGTCGGGATATCCTTGTTGAAAGTCGCCCGCATGAAGATCTCATACGCTGCGACAGGCTGGTAGGAGGGGACCTCGTGCCCGGCTTGAAAGACGCGAGTGAAGCTGTAGTTGCCCAGCTGGCGGGTCATGCCGCTAATCCCGTCGGGCGTAAGAAGTGGGGAGTATCCCGTGTCGGCAAATTCAGTAATTCGCGAGTAAGGGACTGCAAGGCTGGCTTTTTCGCCCCCGACCCAATTGCAGGCGTAATCACGATCACCGTACATCATGTGCACTTTGACTCCGCTGTCGAGGAGGTAACCAATTGCATCCAGGAAGCCGCCATGGACGATGTCAAAAGTATTTATGAACTGTGTAGCCACGGCACTCGAAGACGATGTGAAGTTGACGGGTACCCCAAGAGCGGCCAGGACGGACTCCTGCGTCAAATATCCGAGCATGTGCTTGGCAGGGAATGGGTCGTTCTTAGGATGGGCAATGTCGTACCACCCGCGATTGAAAGTGTGGTAGTAGGTGATGGGACCATCTCCCCATTCGAGTGCAAGACCTCCGCAAATTTCAGAGACATTCTTCCTTGGGTGAGGCAAGCCGGAATCACGTTCTTTCAGAGCCGCTTCACAGGCGAGGGCCTGATCGCGGTAGCCTCCGGGATGCGTCCAATTATACATTAGTTCTTCGTAGAGGGGTTTATCGAA